TCTCTCTCTCTCTCTAAAATAAATAAACCTTAAGAAAAAAAAAAAAAAGAAGAAGAACAAATTAAGCCCAAAGTTAGTAGAAGGCAATCACAAATATCGTAGTGGAAATGAAAGAAATAGAGACTAGAAAAACACTAGAAAAGATCACTGAGATTAAGAGCTGGTTCTTTGAATAGATAAAGTTGGCAAACGTTTAACTAGAATAGGAAAAAAAAAGAGAAAACATTCAAATAAAATTAGAAATGAAAGAGGAGACATAACAAGTGATAAGAAATACAAAGGACCATATGAAATTATGTAATTCTATACCAAGAAATTAGATAACCTAAAAGAAATGGATACAGTAACAGAAAAATATAACCCAACAAGACTGAATCATGAAGAAAGAAGATCTGAACAAATCAGTAGTAAAGAGACTGAATCAGTAACACACCCCCCAGCACAGAAAAGTCCAGGGCCAGACAGCATCACTAGTGAATTCTACCAAACATGTGAAAAATAATGTCAATCCTTCTCAACAATCCCAATCTCATTTTTCAAGGCCAATGTTACCCTGGTATCAAAGACAAGGGTATCACAAGAAAAGAAAATTAAAGGTTAATATCCTTGATGAATAGAAACACAAATATCTTCAACAAAATATGGAACAAACAGATTCAACAGTAAAAGGACCATATACCATGATCAAAGTGGGATTTATTCCTTAGATGAATTGATAGTTCAACATATGCAAATCAAAAAATGTGATAAATCATATTAACAAAATGAAGGGTAAAAATCATATCTCAATAGATGCAAAAAAAATTTTGACAAAATTTAACATCCTTTTATATAAAAAACTTCCAACAAACTGGACATAGAGAATACATACTTCAACATAATAAAGACCACATATGACAAACGCACAGTTAATATCACATTCAACAGTCAAAAGTTTCATACTTTTCCTCTCAGATCAGTAACAAGCTTATTCCACATAGGACTGGAAGTCCTCGTCAGAGCAATTAGGTAAATAAAGAAATAAAAGAATTGGAAATACATTGGAAATTGGAAAGGTATTTGGAATTGGAAAGGTAAAATTGGAAAGGTAAACATAAAACTGTTTGCAGATGACATGACATTACAGGTAGAAAACCCTGAAGGTGCCATAAATGAAAACAAATACCTCTTAGAACTCAGTAAAATAAAGTCAGTAAATATGCAGGACACAAAATCAATATATTAAAATCAGCTGTGTTTTAATATATTAGCATGACTTATAAGAAAAGGAAATTAAGAAAACAATGCAAAGTAATGGCAGAGTAATTAAAGGGGAAACAATTAGGCCCATCATCTGCTTCAGAGAAGCAGCACTCCACTTCCCCTATATAAGTACTATGTATACTTTTCCAAAGCACAATTTCTTCAGAAATCATAGTGAGTGTTGGGGCTGAGGAAATTTATAAATTTCAAGGTTGAAGAAAAAGTCCCAATCACTTTGAAACAAAAAGAAAATTTCCTATCCAAGGAAAATATCAGTTAAGTATTGGAACCTCATCTACAATATGGAGTGACAGAAGAAAATAAAATTATTTTGGTGAAGTTTGAAAGAAGATTTTTAACTTAGAATTCTACATACCGATAAACTATCAACCCAGTATGACAGTAATATAGAAGTACATAAAACTTTAGACACAATTAATTGAAGTTGTTAAAATTAGCAAAAAGTGGTACAAACACAAGAAGAAATGAGAAAACTGAAAAGACATAGTAGGAAAATGTAATATATTCTCTCAGAATTTAATTGCTCAAATAGAACAAAAACAAAACAAAATATTATTAAGAATTTGAACACTACAATTATCAAATTATCCTGATTAAACAGATATATATTTAAATCTATATGGCCATAATAACAAATAATGTGCAAAATCCTTGCAAAATTTTTTAAATAACTGAGACTATGTAACACCACAGCATTAAAAATACCTGACCAGGGCGCCTGGGTGGCTCAGTGGGTTAAGCTGCTGCCTTCGGCTCGGGTCATGATCTCAGGGTCCTGGGATCGAGTCCCGCATCAGGCTCTCTGCTCAGCAGGGAGCCTGCTTCCCTCTCTCTCTCTCTCTCTCTCTGCCTGCCTCTCTGTCTACTTGTGATCTCTGTCAAATCAATAAATAAAATCTTTAAAAAAAAAAAATAAAAATAAAAATACCTGACCAGGGATTTAGCCACAAAAAAATAAAATAAAATAGAAGTAAAAATAAAAATAAAGCCAGTATTACCTGAACAACAAAGTAGAAATCAACAACAAAGGCGAAATACTCCTATTATTCTCCATACCCCAATAATATCTATTCACTTGGAAATTTTAAACTTCACTTTTAATAGTACTTGAGTATAAGAGAAAAACTGTAGAGCCACAGATAATTTAGAAAACAATAATGAAAAGCCCACCTAATGAAAACTATGAAATGCAGCCACAGTGGTACTCAAAAAAACATATACAACTTAAGTGAAATTTATTAGAATATAAGAAAGATTAAAAATAAATACTTAACCTTAGCGGTTCCTCAAAATGTTGAAAATAGAACTACCCTATGACCCAGCAATTGCACTACTGGGTATTTACCCTAAAGATACAAACGTAGTGATCCGAAGGGGCACGTGCACCCGAATGTTTATAGCAGCAATGTCTACAATAGCCAAACTATGGAAAGAACCTAGATGTCCATCAACAGACGAATGGATAAAGAAAATGTGGTATATATACACAATGGAATACTATGCAGCCATCAAAAGAAATGAAATCTTGCCATTTGCAACGATGTGGATGGAACTAGAGGGTATCATGCTTAGCGAAGTAAGTCAATCGGAGAAAGACAATTATATGATCTCCCTGATAAGAGGGAGAGGAGATGCAACATGGGGGGTTAAGGGGGTAGGAGAAGAGTAAATGAAACAAGATGGGATTGGGAGGGAGACAAACCATAAGTGACTCTTAATCTCACAAAACAAACTGAGGGTTGATGGGGGGAGGGGGGTTGGGAGAGGGGGGGTAGGGTTATGGACATTGGGGAGGGTATGTGCTATGGTGAGTGCTGTGAAATGTGTAAACCTGGCAATTCACAGACCTGTACCCCTGGGGATAAAAATATATTATATGTTTTAAAAAAAATAAAATTTATTAATAAAAATAAATAAATAAATAAATAAATACTTAAGAATTGAACTGAAGGGGGCGCCTGGGTGGCTCAGTCCTTAAGCATCTGCTTTGGCTCAGGTCATGATCCCAAGAGTCCTGGGATGGAGCCCTACATAGGGCTTCATGCTAGGCTGAAAGCCTGCTTCTATCCCTCTCCCACTCCCCCTACTTGTGTTCCCTCTCTTGCTGTCTCCATCTTTATCAATTAAATTAATAGATAAAATCATAAATAAATAAATAAATAGAATTGAACTGAAAGAGATAGAAAAATTGCACTGTTTATTATGACAAGAAATTATACATATATATGCATATGTGCCCATATACATATATAAATGTAAATAAATATATATTATAAATATATATTATATATTAATATCTTTACCTATTTAAAATATTAATTTTCCCTGCTTTCTCTGCCCTGTTAATTACCAGAACTGACATAAAATATTAATAAATTCTGCAGTGACATTTAGAATCAAATAACAACTGAAAATAGGACTACAAACAGTCCTTGAACTTGAGAAGATTTAAAGATACATTAAGAATATCCTTTAAAGGGGAAGGGAAGGAAAGATAAAACAAGACAAAACCAGAGAGGAGACAAACCACAAGAGACTCTTAATTATAGGAAACAAACTGAGGGTTGCTGGGGAGGAAGTGAGATGGGGGACATGGTAACTGAATGATGGACATTAAGGAGGGCATATGATGTAATGAGCACTGGGTATAAGACTGATCAATCATTGAACTCTACCTGTGAAACTAATAATATACTATATGTTAACTGAATTTCAAAAAAAATAATAAAATAAAAATAAAATAAAATGACTCGGGTCAAAAAAATGCTTAAAAAAGAATTAAATACTTCTTTAGGATCAAATTAAATTTGATATAGGATATGTTTATAATATTAAAAATTATAAAAAATTTTAAAGCAATAATAATTTTATAAGCCAATAATTCTCAAAATTTTGCACTAAAATGCCCCAATGATTGACAATAGTAAATTGGCCTCACCAATCTTATGTATAAGACTCTAGTATAGATGAGACTATTTAAAACTTGACTTGTAGAAAGTGATTTCATTACCATAAGAAAATAAAGATTTCATAAAATCACTTCATCTTTATTTCTATCCAGTTTTCTGAGGATATAAAAATCAGACACAAAAGTATACTTTTTCTTGCATTTCATTATTTTATTAGAAATCTCTTATTTTTTATGAGTCATACATGAGATATTTATAAACATGTATTTACAACAGAGAAAGCTGAAATATAGACATGAATAGCATTCATAATGACAGGAGCAGAAACAAAGACACGCCTAGACCTTAGTCTTTCTAATTCCAACTTCAACAGTCCTCATGTAGGAAGAATTTGTTTCAGAGTTTGAGGATGTAATTATTCTCCTGAACAACCTTATCAATGACATACCTTTTTTATTAATATCAATGTCTCCCTTTCATTCTCACATAAATAAAAAAACAATGTAATGGACTTTGATTAACTTTACATACACATTTATGGAAATTTAACAAATTAATGAAAGTAAGTCATATAAATCCAGCCAAGAAAAAGACTGAAAACCTCCAAAAAAATTCAAGCTAAAATTGTATTTTGCCATTTTGAGTCAATCATACTTAATTTGAGGATGAAACTGATAATCCTTTAAAAATTAGGTCTACAAAACAAATATTTTAATAGTGTCTTTAATTTATGTGTTTTGAATTTATACTATAATGTATGCTGTGTACAAGTTCCTATATAAATTTCCAATACCAGCTTCATGAGCTTTATATTCCTAAACATCTTACTTTTTTTGCTATAGAAGGAGGCTCCTTTTTCATACTTCTTAGTAAAAATTCCGGCATGTTGTTTTCAATATCTTCACGAGTTCCCTTTTTATGCAAAACTGCAGCCAAAAATGAAATAACCTGGGAGAAAAAAAAACTTTTTAGTTACTGTGTAAATGTTTCAAGATGGACAAAATGTTATGGCTTACATGATTGACTACCCAATTAGTGAAAATTTGAGTATATACAAATAGATTCGTTACAGGGATAAACAACAAGAAATAGTAGTATTGGTTTTCTTTATATATATTAACAAATGTACGGTACACCTTACCCCTGAGCACAGTGAAAAAGAATTCTCACATGGCTATCACTTCCATGGTAAGTTTACCTACTCAATGAATTCTTTCTTGATCTCATCAGTTGGGACATTACCTTCTTATTTGTCTCTCTCCACAGAAACTATTTCTTCATATATTCTATTAGAAGAAACTATATGCATTCTTTTTTCCCTGTTGTATACTTCGGTTCATCTAATAATTATAGATGGAATGATAGAATGTTATTTAAAGATAGACTAAGACAATTCATCAATACACACACCACTTGGAATAACAGCTACTGTCTAAATACCAAGTAAGAAAGACAAAGAGACATAATAAAGGAAATATAACCTCACATAATGCAGAGCAAGAAATATTTAATCAATTGGACTTTGGTTCAAATTTCCGCCTTAGTTGCTTGGCAGTTATGTAAACTTAGGTGAGTTAACCTTTTTGAATAACTGTAAAAATACATGAAAATAGCAAAAATAAATATTTGCAGAGTTATTTTAAAGATTGGGGAAAGTATTTGAGGTATCCATATTGGGGAAGAATCATTACTTTAGAAAAATAAATCATATAAATATTAAAACCTAAAGAAAAAAATATGAGATTGGAAAAATTAAAAAAAACAAACAAACAGTGTTTTTAAAATGAGAATGGGGTCAACTGGGTGACTCAGATGGTTAAGCATCTGCCTTCAGCTCAGGTCATGATCCTGGGATCCTGGGATCAAGTCCAGCATCAGGCTACCTGCTCAGTGAAGAGCCTGCTTTTCCCTCTGCCTCTCCCTCTCTCTGTCTCTCATGAATAAATGAATAAAATCTTAAAAAAAAATAAATTAAATTAAAAAAGAATGGTTACCTACAATCTCAATCCCAAATGTCAAAGAATGGTGTAAGAGAAGTATTTGAAGAGATAAAAGCTGAAAACTTCTAAAAGCTGATTTAAAAAAAAGAGTCAAGCCATATATTCCCGATCCACTAAGAACATCAAACCAATAAATAAGTAAATAAATAAATTATCAACCCACAAGTAGGTGTTGCATAGAAAAACTGCTCAAAACCAGAGACCAAAAAGAAAATCTTAAAAGTAGCACAAGGAAAACACAATAGATTACCTACCAAAAAGCAACAACTGGACAAATAGCTAATCTGGCAGCAAAAACAACAAAGACACTATATGTCGAATGATATTTTCAAGATGGTAAAGAAAATAAAAGTAACCTAGTTTTATACCCAGTAAAGATACTATTCAAGAATAAAGATGGGGATATTTTCAGACAAACAAAAACTGAACAAAATCCTCATCAAAAGAGCACAGTATAGGAAATAATTAATGAATGTTTTCAGGCACAAGGAAAATTATATGATGTAGATGCTCAGTGATGCAGGAAAAACTTAAGAGCAACAAAAATGGTAAATATACAGAAAATATAAATATGTAAACATTATTGAACAAAACTATCTTCTTGAAATTAAATAAAAGCATTAAAAGATATGACAACACATGCAGTTGAGTCTGAAAGGGCCCAGTGTAATTATAATATTCTGGTGTCCTTACACTGTCCAGGAGGGAATAAAAGTACTAGTTTATATTAGAATTTTTGATAAGTCAAGAATGTTTGTTGTAATCTCTTGGGTAACCACTAGAAGGAAAATACATCAATGTGTAAGTAGTAACCTATTAAGTAAGAGGTAACAGAATAATATGAAATAATCTATCCAAAAGGAGGCAAAAAAGAAGAAGAAAATAAACAGAGGTAACATACAACAAATAAAGAGCAATAATAAAATAGTAGATTTAAATCCATATATATTAGAAAGCACATTCCATGGAGGGGACTAAATGTTACAATTAAAAGACAAAGATCAACAGGTCCATAAAATATGTATGCCATTTACACACACACACACACACACACACAAACATTTAAAACAAGGAATAGGAAAAGTTGTTAAGTAAAAAAATGAAAAGACATATGAACAAAAACCAAAAGAAAGTTGACATAGCTGTCTTATTAAACTCTAAGGCAAAAACATTACTAAATTAAAAAGATACACCTCAAGCTTGATATTGATTAAAAAATTACTTCATGTGGAAGTTATAACTAGTGTAAATTGTTAAGCAAAGAAAAAACAGCTTACTGAAATAAAAGTAGACAAATCCATAGCATAATGACTCAGTAAGAAACAAAATAATCAGTAAAGAAGCAGAATATTTGAATCACATGGTTAGCAAACTTGACCTAATGAACATTTGATTAAACACTGCACACTACTGCAAAACATAGTTTCATTTAAAATACATAAGAGGGGTGCCTAGCTGGCTCAGTCAGTTTAACGTCTGCCTTCACTCAGGTCATGATCTCAGGATCCTGGGAATGAGCCTTGCGTGGGTTCCCTACTCAGTAGGGAGTCACCTCTCCCTCTCCTTCTACCCCTACGCACCCTCCCTAGTTATGCTTTCTCTCAAATAAATAAATAAAATCTTTTAAAAAACTAATAACATAAACATGAAATATTTATCAAAGCACCATATAAGGTCATGGAGCAAATCTCAATATGGTTCAGCAGAAATATAGAATATGTTCTTTAATGTGAGAAACTAGAAATAACAAAAGTTTAAGAAGAAAATCCACAAATATTTATAAAGTAAGAGATATAGTTCAAAGAAGAAATAATTTTTTTAATTTTTTTTTAAAGATTTTATTTATTTGACATAGAGACAGTAAGAGAGGGAACACAAGCTGGGGTTGTGGGGGGGGGGCGGGCAGGGCAGGGAGGGAGAAGCAGGCTTCCAGGTGAGCAGAGAGCTTGATGCCGGGCTCAGTCCCAGGACCCTGGGATCATGACCTCAGCCAAAGGCAGACACCTAACGACTGAGCCACTCAGGTGCCCAAGGACTGAGCCACTCAGGTGACCCAAATAAGAAATATATTTTAAAGCATATTAGAATAACGGGTGACTCGGTGGCTCAGTTGGTTAAGTAACTACCTTCAGCTCAGGTCATGATCTCAGGGTCCTGGGATCAAACCTCTGCTTCTCCCTCTCCCTCTCCCTGTGCCCCGACCCACCTCCCATCCTCTCTCTCTTTCTCTCAAATAAATAAAATCTTTAAAAATACATATATAGGGGCACCTCGGTGGCTCAGTGGGTTAAAGCCTCTGCTTTCGGCTCAGGTCATGATCCCAGGGTCCTGGGATCGAGCCCCACATCTGGCTCTCTGCTCAGCGGGGAGCCTGCTTCCTCCTCTCTCTCTCTCTGCCTGCCTTTCTGCCTACTTGTGATCTCTGTCAAATAAATAAAATCTTTAAAAACAATAATAAATAAAAAATAAATAAAAATACATATATAAAATAAAGTATATTAGAATATACTTCTAATTTCAGTATTAAGATTAGAATATATTTTGAGATTAACAATAATAAGTAATAATTACATATTAAACTTGTGGACTATACCTAAGATCATGTTTTAGGGACTTAATGCCTATATTAGGAAGAAAAGAAGCTGCTAATAAAGTATCTAAGAATCTATTTCAAAAATTAATAAAAATACAGAAAACACAAAAAAACAGAATTATAAACAAAATGTATAAGTGGAAAAGCATATAATAAGAAGGATCAACAAAGCCAAATGATCATTCTAGTGAGGGTTTTAAAAAGTGATAAAGCCCCTAGGTAATTAATGAAGAAGAAAAACTACAAGAAGAGGTAAATACTCACACACACATACACACAAAGGACATAATAAATAATGTCATGCCAATAACTAAAAATTTGGAAGAAATGTAGAACAGAACTTATCTATACTGACACAAAAAAAAACCCATAAAATTTACATTTTCATAAAATATTAAATCTCAATACATAATTATAGATCTTACACAAAGAAAACTAAAAGTCAAATGGCTTCACCAATAAAGTCTACCAATGCTTAAGAAAGATATAATGCCAGTCTTGGAGTGCCTGGGTGGCTCACTGAGTTAAGCATCCAACTCTTGATCTCACCTCAGGTCTTGATCTCAGGGTTTGAATTCAAGCCCCATGTTGGGCTCCACACTAGGTTTGGAGCCTACTTAAAAAACAAAACAAAACAAACAAACAAAACCAGGGCATCTGGGTGGCTCACTAATTGGGCATCTGCCTTCGGCTCAGGTCCTGATCCCAGGGTCCTGGGATCGAGCCCCACATTGGGCTCCCGGTTCAGTGGGGAGTGTGCTTCTCCCTCTCCCACTCCCCTGCTTGTGTTCCTTCCCTTGCTGTGTCTCTCTCTGTCAAATAAATAAATAAAATCTTTTTAAAAAAAGATGAAAGAAAAAAGACAAAAGAAAAAAGAAAAGGAGAGGGAAAGGAAAGGAGAGGAGAGGAGAGGAGAAGAGAGGAGAGAGGAAAGGAAATGATGATAAGGTAAGGTAAGGTAAGGTCAGGTAAGATAAGATAAGATAAGATAAGATAAGATAAGATAAGATAAGATATAATGCCAGTCTTAAACTGTTTCAGATTTTACGAAAGGGCGAAATGGTCTCAACTCATTTTATGAGTTTGACATAATCTTGATAAGAAAATATGACAAGCATATTATAGGCAGGAGATTTATAGGCCAATTTTTCTTACTCAGAAGCAAATATTAAATTAAATCCCTTAAAATATTAGCAAATATAACACAGAAATATAAAAAAGAAATATATACTAAAATCAAGTTGGGCTGATTCTGGGCATGTAAGTTTGGTTTAATTTTCAAAATTTAGATATTGTATGGATATTAGGTATTATACGTAACTTTCCTAACATTAGTTTCCTTAAAATAATAGGAC